TATATATATATATGATGTAATATCCTATATACTACACATGTACACACATACATATAATTTAAAATGTGACATCTATTTTACACTAGATATTAAAATTCATTTTTAGATTAATAGTAAACCGATGGATACTGTTACTACGGCGCACGAAGCAATGGCAATTTTAAACGATGATACTGTGGACGTGTTAACAATCACGACATTGAAGGGTATTTCGATACCGTCTGCCGCCAGCTCGGAAACAATGGCGCTAGATGGCAGTTTCGCGGAGAAGCAAAAGATGGTAAACAGCTGCTCACAAACTGAGCAAGAGAGAATGATGTTGAAAGCTTCGTCGGACGACTACGAAAGGCGATATTTGGCGACGAATTTTGCCGATCGAAACGTCTATAAAGCCGCAAAATCCGTGAGTGGCGAAAAATCGAGCGGTATCAGCAACGCTTGGGACAACTTCCGGGAGAAGATTGACATAGTACGAGGACGCAAGCATAGTAAGGAGCGCGACGACAACAACAAGAAGAAGGGCCACCGCAATTCTAGTCCAAATACGTTCGAGCAGGAGCAGGACGCGATAGCGGAGCTTGATTCGGTGATCGACAGCTATCACAAGAAGGCGAGCAACAGTAACAACAATAACGGTGTACTGAAACGCAGCAAGCGACGCGGCACAGAGAAGGTTGAGAAGAACGGCGGCACATGGCCGAAGGCGCGTGGTGTGCCCCTCATCCAGAATGGGACCGGTACTATATTGCACCCACGCAAATCGAAAGAACGTTTCCCCCTCAGTGCATTCTTACCGAAATACGATAATTATAATTACAATCGTATCTCCAATCCTATTTCCCTAACCAACTTTTCCAATGTCAATAATCGTCATACCGTTTACAAAGCAGTGGAGACGCCGCTACCGACCTTCACCAAGACCGGACAGCAGCTCTTTAATCAGAAGTCGTCATCGTTCACTCCGGCGGTGCAGTTCAAGGACATCCCGATCGACGGCGGCAGCAAGAAGCCACCGTCGACGGAATTCGAGAGCAGCGCGTCAGAGACTGGACGACTCGGTTCCGCGCTGGCGCCGTCCGAGACTAGCATCGACTTCTCGGTCAAGTCCGGCGGCGTCGGCCGCGATCTCGACTCGTACTTTGCGAACAAACGACCGCAGAAGTATACGACCGGCGGCGGTAGCAGCAGCGATACGCAAGTGACAACGGACACGCTGCAGCACAATCGCGTGCGCTCGCAGCTTTATTCATCGGGTATTGGCGGCTCGTCTACGTCTGCCGCGTCGACCACCAGCGGCCCGGCGTCGCGCCAACAAATGGCACCCGGTAACTTTCCGTTTCCCCCGTATCATCCGTACGCCACATCGTCGCACTCCCATCCGCATTCTACGCAGCACCAGAATCACTCCTTACCCTTGCGGTATCCATCGCCGCCGTCGCTGCCATCCGCGCAGTCCGGCGAATCGATAGGCCTGCCTGACGCACGTACCTACTGTTTCGAGCCCCCGTACAGCCCCGGACCGGGTTTGCAGACCACAGTGACCCCGGTGACCACCTTCAGCCATCTGCACACTCCCTCTGTAGATCTGCACTATCACAAATCGCGCGCACTGACGCTCGGTATACCCTGCGACACCCCCACCTACGGACACGGATACGAAGGCGGTACTTTGCCGGGTCGAAAGGAAGACCAGCGCATCCGAATACCGTCCAACACCAGCGTCACGTCCAAGAGCAGCGTCGGCAAATTGTCCACCGGTAGCATAGAGAGAACGTCGGAGCGAGGCAGTCCGATGCCAACATTTCACGTAGAAGTGTTGAGCCCGGGCACTAGCAGCACTAGTGGGACCGAGAGCAGCAGTGGTACTGTGAGAGGAAGCAGTCAGCATAAACGCGCCAGTATGCCGGATTACTCTTACTCGCAGTCATGTCCGGCGCCCGGCGAACTGCGCAGAGTGCACATAGACAAGTCCGTGGAACCGCTGGGCATTCAGATCTCATGTCTGAATAGTGGCGGTGTGTTTGTCTCTACCGTGTATGAGCACAGCCTGGCAGCGCAGGTCGGCCTGCAGACTGGCGACCAGTTGCTAGAGGTTTGCGGCATCAACATGCGGAGCGCAACCTATCAGCTGGCCGCCAACGTTCTACGTCAATGCGGTAACTCGATTACAATGCTGGTGCAGTATAGTCCGGACAGTGAGTATTGTCTCTTATGCACCAAAGCGAATAATATAATCTTCGTTGAAAGGCGCACTTTAGAATTTCTAGCATGTTTTACGTTAACGGCATGATTTGCGCGCACTTTCTCAATTCCTCTTTTCGTCAATACATTCCGATAATACAAAAACATTCGAATTTTTCAGGATATTTTTCTTCTTTGGCTTTCACGTTATTCGGATTACGTGTCTCATATAAACGGCATTTTTCTTTGCAAGAATACACCGAATTAGAGGCGGGTTCGTCCTCGAGTTCGTCAGAAGCCGCCGATGGAGCCGCGGCCGGAAGTCGCAGCGGTTCACCCACGCCGTGTAACAGTCCGGAAGCGCCGCGAAAGAGCGTGATGGAAACGTTGGAGCCTGAGGTACCGGAACGCGACACTACTACTATTACCATCACCACCACTGCCGCCGCCGCCACAGCCACCGCCATCACTACCGCTGCACCCGTCATGAGTACGCTACGCGTCGAGCGGGACATGCGACCATCCGCCTCATTGGATGTGAGGAGCACGCAAGAACGACAGCGTGAGATGCGACCGTCCGCGTCGCTGGACATCAACATTCGCAAGCCGGAACTACGCAGTGCCGCCACACTAGATCGTTTGAGCCGCGCGCAGTTGCAGCGGCAAACTGCGATGAGAAGTCCCACGCAGGAGGAGCTGAACCGGAAACCACCACCGCCAAGCGGCGAACCTAGATATCTGCTGATCGAAACCAGGAAATGCTCGAATCTCGGTATATCGTTGGTGGGCGGAAATGGCGTCGGTATCTTCGTGCATTCTGTTCAACCGGGTTGTCTTGCCGAGGAAGCCGGCCTATTTACCGGCGATAGAATCCTGGAGTACAACGGTGTGGATCTGAGACAAGCGACCGCTGAGCAAGCCGCCCTCGAGTTGGCTCGACCGGCAGATAAGGTGACGCTAGTCGCCCAATACATGCCCGAGCGGTATAACGAGGTGAAGGACAAACCGGGCGATAGTTTCTACGTGAAAGCGTTGTTCGACCGAACCGGCGAGGTGGGCGATAGCCTGCAACTGCGTTTCAACAAGGACGACATTCTGTATGTGGATAATACTATGTTTAACGGCACGCCGGGCCATTGGCGTGCTTGGATAGTCGATCAGACTGGCCGTAGACAAACTTGCGGGATAATCCCCAGCAAATTTAAGTAAGTTTCATTTTTATACAATCAATATTATGTATAACATTTAAAAAGCATAGATATATGATGGATAACAATTTATTTTAATCGATAAACTGAGAGATGTATGTATATATAATTTATTATTATTATTATTATTATGCAGAGTTGAAGAAGAGTTGCCGTAGCAATACAAGCGCGAGGAGAAGCTTTTTCCGACGGAAGAAGCAGCAACCACGTTCGTCCAGCAGTAGAGACAGTACCAAGGAACTGTCATCGCATCTCACCGGAGTCAACTTGGGATGGTACAGCGATAGCGGGACGTTGAACGAAGATACTCTTCCGGCTAGTTATCAGCGCGTTGAGAGGCTCGATTGTATGTACTATTAACTTACAACCATAATTCTTAATTACGACAATAATCTCACGATATTGTTTGTGCAGTATATCTTTTAGACACATGTGATAATGATGATTTATTATTAATGACAGATCCCACTTTGAGACCTGTGCTGATAATCGGTCCACTAAGCGAATGCGTAGTAACGAAACTTCTGCAGGATTATCCGGCACAGTTTACTAGATGTCTAGCGGAAGCAATGCATTGTTCGCAATCGACTTTGGAGCAAGGCTTGCGCGATTCGCTCTACATAGATTACAGAAAAAAAGGCAGCTACTTTGAATGCACGACTGTACAAGCCGTTAAAGATATATGCGAGAAGGTAAAATATACAAATGTGTATAATTATTGAATAAATGATAATATTATAAATGATAATTTATTTATTTTGTAGTATATAATTGATATAATTGATAGCAATAATAAAAAAGTAATTGATAATATTATTTAATAATGTACAAATCTATATTTATATTTGTTGTAGAATACACACTGTATTTTGGATGTGTCGATGGCTTCCATCGAGAGACTTCACAGACATCAAATTTATCCTATCGTTTTGTTGATAAAATTCAAGGATAGAACACAAATTAAAGAGGTAAAAGATTCCAGATATCCGAGCGACAAAATCAGTACAAAAGCCGCGAAGGAGATGTTTGAGCACGCGCTCAAGATAGAAGCAGAATATAAGCACTACATCTCTGGTAAGCATATTATGTTTCTAATTTTATTTGTATTCTCACATAAGAGAAATGTACACAGTTTATACATATCTTGCTATTCAATAGCATATAGTATAAAGCAGATTAGTTTAATAAATATGTTTTATATTTGATTATTCGCAATATTCTCTTTTTTCAATTTTGATTTTGAATATGTACTATCAATTTATTGAAGCATAATTTACGAAAATCAAATGTTAATATTATGATATAGATTAATAGAAATTTTATAAAGCAAATGGAGATTATGTTTATTACGAAATGTATCAACATATATATTGCGGATGTTTACTGAATTAATAATATTTCAGCCGTGATTCCGGCGGGTGTGAGCGTGGCGTATATATGCACGCAAGTGAAAGCCTCAGTAGATGAGGAGCAAAGCAAAGCGCTGTGGGTTCCTAGAGGGGGTCCCTGACACAAAAGGGGGGGTCCCCACAAGCCGCAGTGGAAGTCAATCTAAATTCCACCAGGGGGCCCTTACGTCGTGCACATATGCAAGAAGATTTGCTACGCAAAATCAATTATATTATTTATGGTCTCTTAATTTTTCGGAGGAGGATGCGACGCAGTTAAGAAATCCTCCGCTTAACGAAGAACTTTTAATTGTGCTAATCGCTCAATTGGTTGTGATAATAAGAGTTTCTACAATCCATTTTGCTTTAGCGCATTTAGTTCGTTAAATTATCGCAGTATGAAACAGGTACGTAGGCGTATATTTCAATTTCTGTCGCATTTCTTTAAGTTGCTACTCCAAACACTAAATTATCATGTCGTGATTTAGTTATGTGGATTTGTCTTGCACTATCCACATCGCTAATCAATATATATATATATATATAGTTCATCCGTATATGTGTGATTATCAGATCTATACTTAAAGTGTATAAATTCATACTGAAAGAGATTATTTTTCCTTCACGTTCTTTCGGAATTGATTTTCTTGAAAAAATAACCAGTGAAACATTATATAATTGGTGCTTGTTTTTTTTTTTTTTTTTTTTTTTTTAAATACTCGCTTGTTACTCATTAGATAAATATACTACGCAATTTATGTTTAATAACCAGTTTGCTTTTCGATCTTTGATCGCGTATAATCAAGCAATGCAACAGGAAATGCAGCTAATGATTCATGAAACCAATAATTCATACGAGACCATAAGTGGATCAGTATAAAAACACTCGTCGTATTATGGCCCGTTAGGAAATTGGTGGATTAATATTGACGAAACATTTGTCGTTTAGAAAATAATTTATACAGCCGTTTCTCGATGGCTATTATATATTATTAATTAACCCCTCAAATCAAAACTAATGTACAAAAAAAGAGAGAAAGAACAAAATTGGTGGAAAATTGATTATCTTATGTAAATCGCTAAAAGCATATATGTATATATAAATATAT